CCCATGCCCCATACCGGTCAGTGCTGGGCCCTGCCCAGGGTAGAGGTGGTGGAAGGTTGGAGAAGCAAAGTTCCTCCACCAGGAACCTCCCGTCATCCTGCTCCGAGCCCAGCACGGCCACCACGGCCCCTGTGGGCACAGGGGTCATCAGCCATGGCCACCACCAGCCATGGGTGAGGCCACCAGGGTTCCTCACCTGTGACCAGTCTCTGGACATCCACAGCTCCTTCCAGCTTGATCCTCTGCAGCTCATCCTCCAGCACCAGCTCATCTGAGGGCTGGATGTACTTGGGCAAGGGTGGCTGAGGTACCAGGTTGTGCTGCAGGTGGCACAGGGACAGCTCTGGTGGCATCACGGGCAGTGGGCACCAAGGGGAGGGGGAGGAGGAGAGAGAGGAGGAAGAGAGGGAGGATGAAGAGAAGGAGGAGAGGGAGAAGGAGGAGGAGATGAGGAAGGAGATGAGGATGGAGATGGAGATGAGGAAGGATGGAGATGAGGAAGGAGATGAGGAAGGAGACAGAGATGAGGAAGGAGATGGGAATGAGGAAGGAGATGGAGATGAGGAAGGAGACGAGGATGGAGATGGGGATGAGGATGGAGATGAGGAAGATGAGGAAGGTCCCCCTGGAGTTGTCCCCTCTCACCTCTTCGCTGATCTCCTGCAGGATGCTGGGCTGGAGCTGCATGGCCTTGAAGAGAGTCCCCAGCACACAGCACCTCTCCCCTGACCTCAGCTCCGACAGCCTCCGCACGCACACGGCAGCGCCTGGGGGACACGGGCTCAGAGCACTGGGAGCACTGGGAATGCTCCCTGGCACGGACCCCACGGCCCACGGGTGGAGCTGGTGGGGCTGAGGAACATCTCAGAGGCTTCCAGGTATGACCTCTGTGGTCTGCAGGGACCTCAGGGGGTTGGAGGGGTCACAGGGAGGGTCTGGAGGACACACAGCTCCATGGGATGGGGGTTGGAGACCCTGGAATGACTCATCCCAGGAATGTGTGGGATGAGATGTTCCTGCTCCTCATCCAGGGAGTCAAAGGTCTCATTGGGAGGTGACATGAGGTTCCTCAGCACCTCCAAACCTCAGCTCAGCCAGGGATGATCCTCCAGCCTGGAGCCCTGTGGGAATTGTGGATCCCTAGGGATAAGCCTGGATCCTCTTAGGGATAACTCCAGGATTATCCACAAGGAATACAGGGCAGGAGATCCTTTCTGGGGCCTCTTTCTCCTTTCCCCAAAGCCTCTCTGTGCTCTCTGGATGTGATTCCAGCACCACATTTTTCCATCCTTGACTTCCTCCAGGCTGGAAAAACACATTCCCAAGCTGAGGAATGCAAAGACTCCAAGGCAGGAGAAAAAAACACAAACCCTTTGGAGTTTCTTATTCTTGGCTCAAACCCCCCCAAAAAATGTGGCAATCTGGTTCTAACCCAAAATCTGGAGGTGGAGCCTTAAAAACCACTGGAGGAGGAGGAGAAGGAGGAGGAGGAGAAGGAGGAGGAGGAGAAGGAAGAGGAGGAGAAGGAGGAGGAGATAGAGGAGAAGGAAGAAGGAAGAGGGGAATATAGAGGAGAAGGAAGAGGAGGAGGAAGAGAAGGAAGAGGAGGAGAAGGAGAAGGAAGAGGAGAAGGAAGAGAAGGAGGAGGAGATAGAGAAGGAAGAGGAGGAGAAGAAGGAAGAGGAGGAGAAGGAGGGAGAAGGAAGAGGAGGAGAAGAAGGAAGAGGAGAAGGAGGGGAAGGAGAAGGAAGAGGAGGAGAAGAAGGAGGAGAGAGAGGAGAAGGAGAAGGAAGAGAAGGAGAAGGAAGAGAAGAAGGAGGGGGAAACAGGAGAAGGAAGAGAAGGAAGAGGAGGAGAAGGAGAAAGAAGGAGGAAGAGTAGAAGGAGGGGGAGATAGAGGAGAAGGAGGAGGAGGAGTGGGAGACGAGAGAAGTTTTTGCCCCTAGGAAGCCAAATCTGAAGGAAACTCCACTGTGAGACGATAATTTCAGCCCCTGATGGAACCCACACGGGAAGGTCCCAGTCCCTCCCAGTGCTCCCAGTCCCTCCCAGTACCTCGTAGTGCAGGTGCAGGACATCCCCCCATGTCTCCCAGTGCCTTCCATTGCTCTCCCAGTGCCCTCCCAGTACCCCCAGTCCCCTCCCCGTGGCCCTACTTCCCCCCCTGTGAGACGATAATTTCAGCCCCTGATGGAACCCACACGGGAAGGTCCCAGCCCCTCCCAGTGCTCCCAGTCCCCCCCCAGTGCTCCCAGTCCCTCACCCCAGCGCTCCCTGGCCGCGGCCTCCAGCCGGGCGCGCATGGCCCGCAGCCTGACGGCGTAGAGGTGAGCATACTGGCGGCCGAAGCTGCGCTGCCCCAGGCGGAAGGTCTGGGAATGGTCCTGGAATTCTGCCGGGCACACCCTGCGGATCGCGGGGGGCTGTCCCGCGGGGGGGCTCAGCAGCCCCACGGCCGTGGGGGC